AGCCACAATCTTAAATCCCAGGAACAGGAAGGAGTTCTTTGAGCACTTTAAGCAGATAAGGGCCATGATCTGTGTAGAACTTTTTTAAAGTACTAAAAGCAGTAGGTTGGACCACATTTACCTGTGTTTTTTTTTTTCTTACAGAAACAGCTATTTCATGTTAAGCTCAACTAATATAAAGAAGAAAATAAAAACCATCTATAATCTCAATATCATCCATGGATAAGCATTATAAATTATTGAGTGGCTTCTATTATTTTCCTTACTTAAAAAGTGATACCTATTCACTATGAAAAAAAAATAGACAATGCAGGTAATCCAAAAGGAGAAACATTTTATTTTATTTTAAATATATATTTGTTGACTTTTGAGAGAGAGAGAGCACAAGCAGGGGAGAAGGAGACACAGAATCGGAAGCAGGCTCCAGGCTCAAAGCTACCAGCAGAGATCCCAACTTGGAGCCCGAACCCACGAACCGTGAGATCATGACCTGAGATGAAGTCGGACGCTTAACCGACTGCGCCACCCAAGCACCCCAGGAGAAACATTTTAAATAGATTGCTTTTAAGCACACCATGAAGACAAGCACTGTTAACAGCATGGTGTGTATATGCTAAAAAATGTTCAGATGGGACCTACTGTTTAGTAGTCAAATTTTATTTACTTAATATATTATAAATCCCTGTCCCCAGTCAGTAAATACATTATTTTTAATGACTAGGCATAATTCCGTCAATGGATGGTAGCATCACTTACCTAAGCCGATTCCCTCTGTCCAGCTTCGCGGTGCATATGGTGATCAACACCGTCTCAGCTGATCAGAGAGTCTGCCCCTGATGATTCCTTAGGATCCCTTCTGAAAAATGCAGTTGCTATGATGGAGACAGTAAGAAGATGAGTAATGGCAGGGAAGTGGGGGAATAAATAGGCAGAGAAGAGAGGATTTTTAGGAGAGTGAAAATACTCTGCACGATCCTATAATGGTGGGTGCACGTCACTATACATTTGGCGAAATCTGTCATGTACAACACCAAGCGTTAACTGTAAGGTCAAGTGCGCACTCTGTGTGATCATGATGTATCAATGTAGATTCATCAATTGCAACAAATGTACCACTCTGGCCAGGGGATGTGGCAATGGAGAAGACTATACGTGTGTAGAGCAAGGCTTATGTGGGAACTGTCTGTACCTTCTGCTCAGTTTTGCTGTGATCCCCAAACTGCTCTAAAAAATAAAAGTCTATTTTTTTTAATGCACTTGCTGGGTCAAAAGACACACACATTGCAAGGAGTCTGAAAGTTTCCTGGATTAGCAAAATCTCTCCAAGATACTTACAGTGCCCCTAGTAGTTAATGGCCGATGCAATCAATACCATCAGCTATTTTAATGTTTGACAATTTGGTAAAATGTTTTTTAATTCAATATTGTTTTCATTATAAAAGGAATGTGTTGTCAATGTAGAAAATGTGGAAAATTCAGGCGGCGGGGGAGGGGGAGACGCACAAATAACAGATAATTAAAGCAGAACCCAAAACCTTGGGTTCCAGAGAGACTCACTATAGTGTTTGTTATAAAGCCTTCCGATTTTTAATGTGTGTGTATGTGCATTTGTATGTCTATGAGTGTATGTGTGTATGTTAAGTTTAATATTTAACTTTTTACAAAGCATTCAGTGTAATTTTATATACCAAATCTGTGTTTTCCACCTAACCCACTAAACGGGATTGAGTAGTGAGTGTCTTCACTACTCAAAATTTGTATCTACCCAGAACCTCAGAATGTGACCTTATGTGGAGACAGGGTCTTGGTAGATGTAACTAGTTAAATTAGGTAAAGTCATATTGGATTACAGAGAGCCCTAACCCAGTATGACTGGTGTCCTTATAAGAAAGGAATGTGAGGGGCGCCTGGGTGGCTCAGTCAGTTAAGCGTCGGACTTCGGCTCAGGTCGTGACCTTACAGTTCGTGAGTTGACAGCTGTCTGGGGACAGCTCGGAGCCTGGAGCCTGTTTTGGATTCTGTGTCTCCCTCTGTCTTCCCCTCCCCCACTTGCACGCTCTCTGAGTCTCTCTCGGAATGAATAAATACACTTAAAAAAAAAAAAAGAAGAGAGCAATGTGGACACAGAGATATACACAGAAGAGCGAGCGCTGGAAGGCACACTGGGGTGTACCAGGTGACAACAGAGGGGGAGATTGGAGTGAGGTGTTACAGGACACCAAGAGTGGCTAGCAAGCTCCAGAAGCTACAAGAGGCAGAAAGGAGTCTCCCCCAGAGGCTTCAGAAGAAACGAGGTCCTGCCAACACCTTAATTTCAGACTTCCAGCTTCCAGAACTGCAAGAGAATAAATGCGGGTCCCTTTAAGGAGCCTATGGGCAGGACTCGGTAACTGTAATCCTAGGGAGCGGTTACAACTACTTAAGCAAATGGCCTAAGTGTCTTCCATAAACTTATGGATTCCTACAGAATATTTGAAGTGGCCAGAAGAGTATTGCTTTATGGATGTACCATCAGTTATTTAAAGAATTCTTTATTGTTAAACATTAAGTTGCCTCTATATATTCGATTCTAGACGTGTTCTCCTTGAAGAACCGGTATACATTCATGTATTATATAGTAGAATATGACTTTATATCCTTCTTCATGTAACACGGTATCATGAGCATTGTTCCCTACCATTAAAAACCATGCATGAACAGTCTTAATGGCTTCATAATAATGTGCTGTATTATGATTCATAATATAACATCATTATTATAAGTATCATCATGACAGTAAGAATACCCATGTGGTTAAACACTATGTTGCTTCCAGCTTTTTAGTATTGCAAATAATACTGAGATGAATGTATTTATGTACAGAGAGTGTTGGGCTGGGGGGTTGTATTTTGCATTTGGTACTGTATCTACATTAGGCTCTTTTCATTAGGATCATGTAAAAACATTAGTCACTTTAAAATTATTGATGAAGGGGCACCTGGCTGGCAGTCGGTTAAGCGTCTGACTTTGGCTCAGGTCAAGATCTCGAGGTTCGTGAGTTTGAGCCCCACATCAGGGTCTGTGCTGACAGCCCAGAGCCTTGGAGCCTGCTTCAGATCCTGTGTTTCCCTCCCTTTCTGCCCTCCCCCCACTCATGTACTCCCATGCTCTCGCTCTCTCTCAATAATAAAAAAAATTTTTTTTAATTAAAAAAAAGTTATTGATGAAGTTGGGGCACCTGGGTGGCTCAGACAGTTAAGTATCTGACTCTTGATTTCAGCTCAGTTCATGATCTCAAGCCCTGTGTCAGATTCTGCACTGAGAGCATAGAGCCTGCTTGGGATTCTCTCTCCCTCCCTCCCTCTCTCTCTCCCTTTCTCTCTGCCCCTCCTCTGCTCTCACATGTTAGCACAATTCCCCCCCCCTCTAAATAAATAAATAAACTGGAGGCCCCTGGGTGGCTCAGTCAGTTAAGTGTCCGACTTTGTCTCAGGTCATGATCTCACAGTTTGTACGTTCAAGCCCTGTATCAGGCTCTGCGCTGACACCTCGGATCCTGGAGCCTGCTTTGGATTCTGTGTCTCCCTCTCTCTCTGCCGCTCCCCCGCTCATGCTCTGTCTCTGTCTCTCTCTCAAAAATAAATAAGCATTTAAAAATTTTTAAATAAATAAACTTGAAAATATATATGCTGATAAAGTTGAAGGAGTTTCCAGAACTATGCCAACTTATGATCCCACATGCAGTGTCAAAGGTGACTTACTTCACCACACCCTCAACAGCACGTGATATTGTCATATTTGTGAATGTGGTTGACTGGAGTGCAAAGCTGATAGACCCCTCCTGTGACTAGGAATTTGCAAAATGCTCTCTGTCCGTGGTGCCCCTTGAGTCACAAAATCCCTGGAGGAAGGTCCACAAGAATAATGTGCCCTTGAAGTTGCAAGGGCTGCTTTCTTTCCTAAAGAAATGCCTTTGAGGGTTCCTGGGTGGCTCAGTCGGTTAAGCATCTAATTCTTGGTTTAGGGTCAGGTCATGATCTCACAGTTTGTGAGTTCAAGCCCCACATCGGGCTCTGTGCTGATGATGTGGAGCCTGCTTGGGATTCTCTCTCTCTCCCTCTCCCTCTGTCTCTCTCTCTCTCTCTCTCAAGATAAATAAATAAGCTAAAAAAGAAAAAGAAAACAAAAGGGGGGGGGGGCTTTCTGCTGCAGCCTGGCCCTATGCCCAGAGTCCCCACCTCATGACAGTCCTGTGTCATGCAGCCCACACACTAATGGTTGGACACTAAAAGTGACCCTTGAAAGCAAACTAAGATTCTCAAAGACAAACAAAAGATTTTTGAAAATGAATTTGAAAGCATAGGAAAGTATAAACTGCCTTTGGGAACCTCATCATCTAATTTCTTCTATTTTACTGCAGAATCATCCTCATGTCAGACTGGCCTGATGCCTCACAGGTGCATGTGGCTGAGGAGTGACCACATCGCCCTCTCTTGGCAACTCAGGTTCACTTAGGGGTTCATGTTGCTTGGAAAATGGAACTCCCCGTGTGGGTCACCGACCCAATCAAAGGAGGGAGGTGGAGATTCAAGCCCAGTGAAGCCAGGCTTTAATCAACATTCTTGCAAGAGCAGGTATCTGATGGACAGGCACACTGGGACAGTTACAGCAGACAATTTATCTCCTAGCAATCAAGTCCCTCCTCTGGTTCCTCATTGGCTGAGCACTACAGAGGTAAGTCCCTCCCCTGGTTCGTCATTGGCTGAGCACTACAGAGTGAGTCCCTCCCCTGGTTCCTCATTGGCTGAGCACTATAGAGGTAAGTCCCTCCCCTGGTTCCTCATTGGCTGAACACTACAGAGGTTACAGCCTTACCCGGAAGGCGCCTATGCCCATATAAGTCAAAGAGTAGTCTAATTGGAACAAACCTACATTCCCTGAGGTTCCAGACTTTCAGTCCCTCCTCCCTTTGTTCTTTGGTGCATGCTCATTGCAAACCCCATGAAAATAAGCCCATGAAATAGAGAGGGGAAGAAGAACCAGGAAGTGAAGTGTCTAAGGGTTTGGGACTCCATTGTTGGGGGGGGGGGGGTTGTACATATTTCCAATAGGTTATAAACCTACTGTTAACTAGACAACACAGCATTTATTTGGTATTTCTGAAAATGAATCATCTCCCTTACTTCTCACACCTAGATGTTAATATTGGTTCTAGGGTGGGATCTTTCTTGCTTTTAAGACAGACTTAAATTTCCTTTGACCTCAGATATGAATGTCCATCAAGCAAGCCATTGTGGGTTGAACTGTGCCTGTCCAAAAAACTAGGTCAAAGTCCACATCGGCAGGACCTCAGAATGTGACCTGCTGTGGAGACAGGATCTTTACCGACAAGTCACATTAAAATGAGGTCATTAGAGTGCGGCCTAATCCAGTGTGGCTGGTGTCCTTATACAAAGGAGAAGTTTGGACACAGATACAGACACATATAGCAGGAAAGACAGTATGAGAGACACAGGAGAGGCCACATGAAGACAGAGGCTGAGAACATCTGAGGTTGGAGGAGGGGAGACGGATTCTCCTCCACAGGCTCCAGATGGAGCACGACCCTGCAGACCCCTTGATTTCTTGCACCGGCTGTGAAAGTGCTGCTGTCCAGTTAATGTTCTCTGGCTTCACTGCTCCCATGTCTCCAGTCTGCTTTTTTTTTTTAATGTTTATTTTTGAGAGAGGAAGGGAGGGAAGGATGGAGAGAGAGAGGGAGAAAATCTCAAGCAGGCTGTCAGCACAGAGCCCGATGTGGGGCTGGAATTCACGAACCACGAGATCATGACCTGAGCAGAATTCAGACCGTTAACCAACTGAGCCACCCAGGCGCCCGCCCCTCTGCTCTGCTTTATTCACCTGGTGTATTTCCTTCCAAGACTGAAGTTGAGGTCAGTGTATTGTTTGGGTTTTTTTTATAATACCCCAAGGAGATCTGTATTTCTAGTCTTGAATTAGCTTAATATTATTCCTCCCACCTTAATTTCTTTATTGGTTTATTTTGTGTATCCTCCCGGCCAGGACCTGCTGGTTGAACCTACTTGGATACCGACGCTCCCCATATATTGTATCCTTGCCATTCCGTGGGCCACAACGTCTACCTCTACCAGCTAATGAAACTTCACTTTCGTTGTCTCCTCCTTTTGGGTTCAGGAATCAGAATGCATTCATTCATCTTTCTCTTCCCAACGAGGCTTGGTGCCGTTCCATGCACAAAGGTGTCCCATGAATGGCTGCTGCCATCCCCTAACATCCACGTTCTCATATTCTGTGGCAACAGAACCCTACGCTCTAGCAGGACACAAATCCAGACTGATTTCTCAGCCCTCGCACCTTGCAGCTAAGCACGGCCGTGCATCTAAATTCTGATCAATGGGACGTGAATAGATCCTGTCCTTACAAAGAAATCTGTTCTGTCTCCCTTTTTCCCACCTTCTTACTGGCTGGAGAGTGGAGGTGACGTTGAGCCATCATGAACCACACCCCCAAGATGGCAGAGCAGGCGGGAAGAAGGAACCTGAGCCCTTGAAAGCTTGAAGAGCAGGCCTGCCCCCAATATGTAGGCGTTTGTAGAGAGAAATAAACACCTGCCTGTGCAAGCCGCTACTATTTTGGTCTTTATAGCAGCCAAACCTATATACCAACAAATACAAGAGGATTTGTAGATAAAATCTAGAGACCATCAGAGAAATTCCAGATTTCCTGGGCATTTTTGGTGATAGGTAGTTAGAACAAGGTCTGGGGTCACAAATGCTCTAAGTTACTTAAACTCAACCAGACTGTTTTTCTTCTGCAAAATAGGATTGTTACTATCTACCATGTGGGGTTGCGTGGGATTAAATCTGATATGTTTATACAGTGCCAGGCCAGCAAGTGGTATCATTATAATTGAATATTTCACAAAAAAAGGAGTTCGTTCAGAAACTTAAGTCTCATTTAGACACTAAGGTTTCCCTCTTCACACAGCACAGGGGCGTCTTGGCCTGGGTTCCTAACAAGAAAACCCTGGGAAGCCATGGACCAGTAAGCAGGTGGTTGATTTGGGAGGTGATACTGGAAAACTGGAGAGAGGAAACAGAACGAGGGCATTCATCTCCCAGGATGGCGTAAACACAGACCAGGGGGTAAAGCTGGTGGTTTACTTTCTCACAGGTCCGGAGACCAGAAGCCAGAAACAAAGATGTCGGCAAGGCCGTGCTCCCACCGAAACCTTAGGAGAGCCTCCCTCCAAGTCTCGTGGTGGCCATCGATCTGTGGTGCGCCTGGCCGTGGCTTCGATCCCTGCCTCTGTGGTCTCATGGCCTTCTCTCCACACGTCTTCACGACGTCTTTTTATAAAGACAGCAGTCACGTTGAATTAGGACACGCCCCACCCCAGTATGACCTCATCTTAGTGTGATTGCATCTGCAAAGACCCTATTTCCAGATAAGGTCACGTTCACAGGGACCAGAGCTTAAGACTTGAACATCCCTTTTTGCAGGACACAATTCCACGCACGGCAGTGAGAGGGGAGGGAAGAAGAGACTGTCTTGTCAAGGAAACCGCTCTGTGCCACTTGGCCCCCCGAGAATTGTGCAGACTGGCCCCAGGCTGTCCGTCTGAAGGAAGGAAGAGCAGGCGCCTCGTCACCAGCCTCGGCCCCACAGGTCCAGGATGGTGTCGAGGTCACAAGCTGCCCCTGTTGAACGTCCCCCACTCACAGCGTCAGAGGAGAAAGCAAGTCCAGCAGCAGGTGCAAGAATTCAGCTCTTATCAGCGCGAAGCCCGGCCAGGAGCACCAGTGTAGCCCCAGCCCCTGCCCGAGTCTGGGGTCAGGCCAAGGTAACAGGAGTCCGAGAGCCTCACACGTGTGCTGAGGGACAACCCTCACACCATTCGAATGGCTCCCGCTCTACACCAGTCCCTCTCTGTCTCCTGGTCTGTAAGACAGTGGCCAGCCCCAATGCACAGATGGCTCCACAGAGAAGGCGTGGGTGTCCAGCACCTGAGGCTAACCAGGGGCCACGGCCAAAACGCATCGTCTCCCTCCTCCACCACTGCTCCAAGATGACCCCCACGCTCCACCCGCACGTCTGCTGTTCCAGGCCACTTGCCTGGGGGCCAATGACCATCATTATCACCAGGCTGGGTCTCCAAGCAAGAGCTGTGCTCCCGGTGCTGCTGTGACACACAGCGGCCACAGCCCCAGTGATAACCGGGGTCAAGGGCCCCTGCTGAAAGAGTACCTGCTTCCTTTGCCTCCTCGGCCACCATCAGGGGAGGCCCCAAGTATTCAATGGAACTCTTTCAGTGTGACCCCTCCCACCAGTAGCCCAGATCTCTGGTCCTACAGAACATGAGGTTTCTGGCAAAATTGCACCAGTGGCCGCTGGGCAGTGAAAGCAGCCAGTCCCGCTCCTGTACATCGTCTGACCCCAGGCTCCTGGGCGCACGGTACCATCGTGACATCTCCATCCACTGACACCTTCCCAGTCCACATTCTGAAACTGCAGCCATCCCCCATGGCTGGTGTGCACATCACGGTTTTCTTTCATTTGATTTCTGGCTTAAAACACAGTTGGCTACCCTAGTCCCATCCTACACCTAGGATCTGTGGAATGATGAACCTGGCGGGCCTGTAATGTTCTCCCCTAGTTCACACTGAAATGAAACCACCATTACTGAGCTTAACATTGTGTCTGTCCTTCATGGACTCACCATGCAAACCAGCTGGAGAAGAATGGTCATCTGGGCCAAAGTCAAGCTTTATGGACTGAGCCCCATTGGGTGTCAGGAGGAGGAGGCTTGGTCTTCTTTTGGGTCTGGTGAAGGGTCTAAAACTTGGATTTTTTTGGTTCACATGTTGAGACGGTCAAAGCTCTTTTATTTCAACCACAACAGAGAAGAAAGAGATTCTGCTGTTCTCACTTGCGGAAAAACGCCAACGGGTCTCTAGGTTAGGGGGACAAATGGCCTCGGTTTTACACAACAAAATGGAAGATACCCTGGTTCCTTTCTAAATAGGTCTAGTGACCTCTAAAAGTGCTTCACAATGGGGCGCTGTGTGGCTCAGTCGCTTGGCCATCCAACTCTTGGCTTCGGCTCAGGTCATGATCTCACAGCTCGTGAGTTTGAGCCCGCGTCGGCCTCTTTGCTGACAGCTCGGAGACTGGAGCCTGTTTCAGATTCTATGTCTCCCTCTCTCCCGGCCCCTCCCCCACTCATGCTCTGTCTCTTTCTCTCTCAAAAATAAATAAACATTAAAAAAAATTAAGTCATGCTGGCTGGCTTGCTGTTTGTTTATTTGTTTGTTTTACTACATCACTCTGATTCCCTTTTTGTCTTTAGGACACTTTCCACTACGTTCTGAAAGTAAATGTCCCCGCTCCCCACTGGTGAGTATGTCATCGGGTTTGGCAGTAGGAGAGAAGCACATTATTTATATTTAATGCTGCCTCATTAGACCCAGGACCTCACACTGTCAGGAGAGGAATGTGGAACATATGGGGAAAGACACCACATTTTTTCAAGCACCTGGTTATTTTAACAGTAAATTAAAACTTCATGGATCTAGGTTTCTTTCATTTGGAATTTATGATAATATCAAATTTGTAATTATTTGAAACTATTCTGAATGAAATGAACAATGCAGATAAGATCCTGGGAGTTACTTGTAGAGAGTATAATTTTCAGAGGGTTTAATTTAATCAGTTATTGGCATGCAAATCCCAATTACCTACAACAGGCAGTAAAATTTCACCTTGGTGTTTCTGCTCTAGAGGGTATATGCACTTGAATTAAAACTAACTTTCTACATTCAATACGTTCTACAGAGTTTCCACTTCCAAATAAGGCTTCCTTGTGATTCATACCAATTTTGGGGCTCAGCCTCGGTGGAAGGTAGAAAGGTTTGTTTCTCTGAGCCAGACACTGTGTAAGGGGTCGTTTCGATGGTCTCATTAATCAGCTCAACACTCATGAGAGCTGGGCATTACTATACCCATTTTACAGACACTAAAACTGAGGCTCTAAACATTTTATCACATTGCCAAGAGTCATGGCATCTGTAAACCAGCTTTGCCCCTGACTCTGACCCCAAAGACTCCCTGTGGTCTTCCCATCCTGTCTTTGCATTAGAATATTTACGACAAATGTGTAAGATGCGTCACTAACCTAACCTCCCCTTTGGAAAGCTGTCCTTACAATGAAAGTGATTTCAAATGTCTGTTCCTACGGGTGAAGTTACTGCCACCCGCAGTTCAACTCATTAGCCCCTTTACACTAGGATTCTCTCTGTGAGGGTGTTAGTTGTTTTATTTTGCTTTATAAAGCGTCGGGATTTTTTAAATGGAGATATAATTGACATAAAACATCATCCTAGTCTTTAGTGGACAGCCTATTTGTATAAACTGTTAAATGATCCCAGCTAACATCCCTCACCTCACACAGTTATGGAACTTTGCTTCTTGTGATGAGAACTTTTAAGAACTACTTCCTTAACAACTTTCAAGTATAAGGAACAACTCTGTTAACTACAGTCACCATGTTCTGGATTATGTCCCTGGGACTTATTTATTTTATAACTGGAAGTTTGTATCTTTTTACCCCCTTCATCTACTTCCTGCCTCTGCCAAATACCAATCTCTTCTCTTATCTATGAGCTCAAGGGTTGTACCTTCGTATTTCTTAGATTTCACCTGGATTGTGTGTGTGTGTGTGTGTGTGTGTGTGTGTGTGTGTGTGTGAAGTAAGCTTTTTATTTTAGGGTAGTTTTAGATTTAAGAAAAAATACAGTGATATACACAGGATTTCCAGTGTCCCCTATTATTAATCTTACACGACCATGGTCAACATGACATCTATTGATGCCTTCTTATGAGCCAACGTGCATAATTTACTCAGATGTCCTGTTTTCCCCTAATGTCCTTTTTCCTATCCTGAATTCTGTCCAGGAAGCCACGTGTGTGACATTTAGTCACCTGGCCCCCTCAGCCTTCTCAGATTTTCTTTGTTTTTGATGACCTTCACAGTTTGAGGACTGGGCAGATATTTTGTGGAATCCCTCAACTCGGATTTCTGTGATGTGTTTTATGCACCATACAGACATAAGATGTTAAGTTAACTTTAGGAGACTATAGGAACCCACTGTACTACACTCACAATTTTACCGTAAATCAAAACCATGCTAAAATAAAAGGTTTAAGTAAAAAGCCTAAGACAAAAAATGTTAAGTTGAAAGTTAAATCATCAAGAAATTCACTCACACAAGTCACGCTGTGAGAGAGTGCTTTGCGATTGTCAGAGTTATGCTCCGCATTGGGTATTACTGTTGGCCTTTGGAGGTGATGCTTCAGGCAGCTTCACTAGCTCTCACTGGTGTCCCTGCAAAAGGAACAAATCTTTAGAATCTCTAAAAGAAAGAATTTTCTTCAAGCCCAAGAGAGCTGCCCGCCGCCTTCACAGTGAAGAAAGCACCCCAGAGAATGAACAGTTTTTACATCTTGTGAGAGCTCAAAAGACCACAGATTAACATACAGGCAGGAATCATGAGCTTTAACATCAGGAATGCACGGAGTTAGGAGGGGCGGTGATCAATATTTTAAAAACAAGATGATTTTCCTTCAGGCTACGTAAGAAGCATGCTCAGCAGACCCTAAACCAGCCTTTTGATCGACACAAAGATTACGTACCGTCATGCTGACTTAGAAATCTAAAATGGCTTCCCTTTGGGGTGCCTGGGTGGCTCAGTCGGTTGAGCATCTCACTTCACCCCAGGTCATGATCCCCCGGTTCATGAGTTCGAGCCCCACATAGGGCTCACTGCTGTCAGCCTGTCAGCCAGAGCCAGCTTCGGATCCTCTGTCCTCCTCTCCCTACCCCTCCCCAGTATGCACTCTCCCCACAACAAATAATAAAATACTTATAAAGTTAAAATAATAATAATAATAATAATAATAATAATAATAATAATAATAATAAAATGGCATCCTGGGGTGCCTGGGTGGCTCCGTAGATTAAGTGCCCAACTTTGGCTCAGGTCATGATCTTACAGTCCATGGGTTTGAGCCCCGCACAGGGCTCTGTGCTGACAGCTCGGAGCCTGGAGCCTGCTTCAGATTCTGTGTCTCCCTCTCTCTCTGCCCCTCCTCCACTTGTGCTCTGTCTCTCTCTGTCTCTCAAAAATAAATAGATACTAAAAAAAAATTTTTTTTAATGGCATCCCTTGTAGACCAGGCCTTCAGAGGGTTTCTCGCTCATCACTGGTCAGCACACACTATGGCAGGAAAACACATTAATACCAAACCAAATGGATTGTTTTATATATTCTACAAACAATATTTGCAGGAAAATATTTTAGGGACAAATGACATTACGCACTAGTCTCTGGGGCAGTGTGAAACAAACTTGGTGACTATTATATTCACAGGAAGTACATGAATTATATTTCCTGTCTGTTTCTTCTGTCTCCCCCCAAATAAACTAATGCTCATTAGCTGTCCACCTGACCATGACCTGGAAGAGAATAGATCAGGCTGGCCTTCAGCCAAGCCAACACGATGGCAGAGAGGGCCTGGGATTCAGTCTGTGCCCAAGATGATCCAGGTGAAGCCTCCAAAGGTGAAGTACCTCCAGAATTCTGTCATTTACAACACAGAGTGTCCCGATACTCGTTGGTTTCTCAGCACACGTGTCAGGGATCAGTTCGTCTACTGAAGGTACAGAAAACAGACATGGTTTCCGCCCTCATGGAGCAAACAGTCAGGTAGGAGAGAAAGACGTGCAAGAAAAATAAATCCCACAAGCAAGTACGAGGTCTAAACCACAGTAAGGGGCGAAGTTCACAGCGTTAAGAAACGAAACTTGACGGAGTAAATTTGAAGATCGAACTGACTTTATTAGGTGATTCTTGAGTTGGGTAGCATCCCATCCAGCAAGTAGAGAGGGGCTCTGAGCTAACAAAATGGTTATATAGGAAGGAGGGTGAGGCAAGGAAATTATTAGCAAAAGAAAAGAAAGGATTGTTTCAAGCAACTTCCGTTTCCCTTAGGGAAAGGGGCCAGGGGTCCTTTGCAGATTCCCTCCTCTTCCTTTGGTGGGTAGAGAGGGCCCCTGTGACAGACTACCCCGTTGGTGTTTAATAGAAACTTCCTGACTGACCTGTTAAGACTTACATTTCTGGGGGAGGTTGAAACTGCAGTTAGGTTAAGAATTAAGCCCCAGTTTGGTGACCTGGCCTAGCATAAGTGACTACATCCTGGGTCACTTCATCTGGCCCAAGAAAAATGCCACCTCTGTTCTGGGCAGAATTTCTCTTATGGCCTCACCTGGCCATTCGGTGGCGACAGACCTGACTAAGTAGGCACATTACCTGGGTACACAGTCCTCTGGGACACCAAACCCCCAAGTCCTTCAGAGGGGATACCTGGAAGCTGAGAAATCAGGCATAGCCCCAAGGCAGGGATGTAACGGACATTTCATGGCTGCAGGGAAGGGCTCATGACGAGGGAAGACAGGGAAAAGCTGAGGTAAGAGCAGGACCCCGACAGCCCAGCCAGGAGGGGGTCCCCCTGACACATAGGGAGGTTGACTTAGCACAGTTTGGAGGCCATGTTCCAGTGTTTCACGTACAAGAGAGACATCCTGGAGGAAGAGTCTCCAAAGAAACCTATTTCCGGTAAATTGATGACAATGCAGGGTTTCTCTGTACTGAAAATGAGAAGGGGAGACCCAGTGGGTGGGGCTGTGGTTCTTGGACCACATGCTGGGTGTCATCATCCAGGCTGAAAGTGCCGATAGTGACATGTTGTGTAGACGGGAAGGCTGAGGGTCTGCTCGAGCACATGAAGCTTTCAGGACCTTCCGGAACTGGAACATGATACTCATTTGGAAAGCAGGTTCCAGAACTGGGAGCTGGGAGGTCATCAGTAAGCTAGGCCTGGGCTCCCAGGTGCAACTGAGGCCACAGGGTCCCTGCTTCTTTTTGTGGTTCTCGATCCTTTTCCCTCCTCCCCTCCCCCTCCTCCTCCCCTCTCCCTCCTCTTCCTCATTCCCCTCCCCTTCCCTTCCACCTCCTCCTCCTCTTCCTCCTTCTCTCCCTCTTTCCCTCTATCCTGTCAGGACCCTCCCAGCTCCCAAGGTTTTATATCCTTATCACCAGAGACTAACTAGTGTCTTGGGCCCCAATTCTAAGTCCCCAGGGGATAGACTCTGATCATCCACCTTGGTCTGGGGTCCCCACTGCCACCTGCCGGGTGGGCAGAGAGACAGCCAGGGACCCTGTCTGAGAGTTGGAGGGTAGTTTCATAAGAGGGGTTTGTGAACCAGAAGATTCCTCAAAACACATATTCTAAAAGTGGGTGGCTCAGGCTTAGCCCCAGCGCTCACAACCACATGCTGGCCCCCAGTGGAGGCTGGCCACCCAAGGATATTGATCAGAAGAGCCATCCCTCCTAGGGGGGGCCTTAGTGTGGGCTCGTCCTCTGTGACATCCTACTGGGAAGTGAGCAGGAAAATGCTATTGGGGGCACCTGGGTGGCTCAGTCAGTTAAGCGTCTGACTCTTGATTTTGGCTCAGGTCATGATTGATGTGGTTTGGGAATGGTGGGGGGAGTCCAGACCCACAGCTAAGAAAGAATTCTTGAGACGTCTTTGGTTAAAGCCTGGGGACAGGACTCAGGGGCAGAAAGAGCTGCCCTGGGGATTATGAGGAGAGGCTGATTACAAACTTGGGAGTTTGGGGAGTAAAGAGGAGGGGAAGTTTCCAAGAGGAGCTTCATATGCAAACAAAGACTCCCAGGATCCTGGAAACCTCGCTGTTGTCAAGCTCGGGTTGTTTTCCCCTCCAGCAAAGTATTAACACTAAGAAGGCAGGGAGTCCCTGGCCTCCCTGTTATTCTCTGCCTGCCTCAAGTGTCTATCAATGGACTGCAGGTTACAAGGAAATTTAACTTTATCTACCATTTCCTTCTGCCTTCTTTTCCCACATCAGTGATCTTGCCGTTGGTGAGTTTGGGCTTTGTGCCGGACGCAGAGCCTGCTTAAGATCCTCTCTCCGTCCCTCTACCTCGTGCGTGCACGCCCTCTCTCTCTGTGTCTCTCTCTAATAAATTAATTAATTAAAAATGAAAATGCCTCCTAAGAATTCCCAGGCTCCCTCCATGATCATGCCCACCAGACTTCATTTCCACTGTACCGAGCCCAAAGTTCCAAGCTGGCATTTGTATCCCACCCTGTGCAAATCTTCCCCAATCTTCCAGCGTCTTCTGGTGCCTGGGTCTAGGTTCTTCCTATGGCCCTACTGCACTTTCTGCGCTAAAATTTTGTGGGTTTTACCAAATTCAAACAAACCGTGCTGTTAACGATTCTGAGTCAATCCTTCATATACTACTCCCTCCGTGCATACCTGCGTATGGAGGTGGAGGTCCAAGTGTGGTTACATAGCTCGGACTTCTGCCTC